TGCCTGCCTTCAGCCCCCTCCCAGAAGCCAGGGAGTGCCATGCCTGCAGTTCTGGGACAAAAAGAAACAAAGAAATGAAAAAAAAAAAAACCCACAAGGGAAATCTAATTCCTGCAGAAAGCGAAGCTGGCCCTGACACATTTTTGGGTGGTGTTGGCTCACTGCTTCCTAATCTGCTGTCAGTCTCCCAGCTTTTCTTCTCCTGCCATCTCTCATTGCCTGCAGAAGTGCAGGATCCTGCTCAATTAAATGTTTGGATTTGAAGAGCTGTATTGAAATTAGAAACTTGAAAAACTGGCAGAACAAATATTTTAGGCCACTCTCTGTTGGCTGACTGATTCAATTAGTATTTGGCTGTGAAAATATCTTATTGTGGGCAGGCTATTTGTCTGGCATGAAATTATCTAAGTGCTTGCCCTGCTTTCACAATCAGTTCTATTCAGAGCACCATTATCATTATGTTTTATTATTTGTGGGACTAATGTGTTCCCATGTGCCTTTGTACAGCCTGGTTCTTGCTTACATTGCCAACTGACTTAATGGTGAAAACAAACGCTTCAGTTAATTTTAGGCATGTGCTTGTACTTTTTTAATCTTCCAGATTTATAATGAAGAATTCAATATAGTTACATGAATATACGTTTATATGAGAGTACAATATATGCATGGTATATGTAAATATCATAATGTTTAATATGCAATATAGCTACATTAATAAGACAGTTTGGATTAAGTTCTCCCTTCAGACAGGAAAATTTAACAGTCTTTGCAATCAGTGGATGTTGAATTAAACAACCTGCTAAATCTGACTCCCTGCCCGGATCATGTTCTCCTGCAGCTCTTCTAAACCACAAGAAATGCTATGGGAAGCAGAGCTGATGGCAAACCAACCCCACGGCATCCTGATGTGGTGCCGGCACAGCAACCAAACTGGGCATGGCACGCAGTGTTGTGTGTCTCCATCCTGTGCCTAGTTCCTGGTGTTGGAGGAGTTCCCAATAGCCAAACTGCCTAACTGGGAAGCCATGCCTGAAGCCTGCTGCCACAGGGACGTCAGCCACAGGTCTGTGCTTGAAATATGTGGGAAGAAGGTGAATGTTTGGTTTGGTTTCAGCAATTCATGCAAATGAAGTGAGTAAAATGATCTACTGAGCACATTTTGACAAAGTTATGTAAGAATATCCACGATCTCAGAAAGTAACTCTATGGTATTGATCGGCTTATGACTGCTTATTTTCCATCTGTAGTCTTTTTCATTGCTGGCTTTTAGTGAGATATTTGTTTTGGGTTTCATTTTGACTTCTTTTACACTTAATTGGAAAGCTTTGAATATATTGACATCAGCAAAAAAAGCTATTACATTCAATTAGTTATTAAAAACATTGGGATTTAACTCTGCCTTGTAGTTCCACCCGCCCATGTTTCTTGAGGACTGTCTCTGAGGGCTTTGGGCTATCAAATATGAATTACTAGTCTTGAAAGTCTGTACCAGTTCTTAATGAATTATTGAGCTCTCGGGAAAGCTACACACCATTTAGAGAACCTGAAATCTAAGACAAAACTTAACAAAATGGCCTGAAATGACGTACGAGTTTGGTATTCTGAATATTCTGACTTCTCATTGTAATAGCAGAGAGCATAGCTTTGGATTATTGATTCCAGTCATTTTTTTTTTTTCTTTCTTGAAGCTCCTGTACTAAATTGAAAAAATAAAATCTGGAGAGCTGTCTTGGCATCTAGCAGAGATCTGAATGATGAAGAAACTGTTTGAATAATGTATTGCTGCTTCCCTGGCTGATGTCCCTAATATCAACTTCCCTATTCTCAAGCACGTTGGAGTGACTCTTTTTAAATATTATATTGCAAGACCAAGTATATTAGGGCACAGTACCCTGGCTGGGAGTCAGCAGGTCCTTTCAGCTGCCTCACTGACTCACTGCAGTATCTTGGCGTGGCTGCTTGACCTCCTTCCTGCTTCCCCATCTGTGCAGCTGGGCAGTTAACACTACCCAGTTACCCTGCAAAGCAATTTGGGACCCTGAGATGGGAAGTGTTAGGTGACCAGTCTGTTTATTCTGCCATTCATTCTTCAAACCCTGCCAACACACAAGAACCTGGAGATCATCAAGAGTTTAAAGACACCATCTTTTATGGAAAATATTCTCCAGTGTGCATGTGGAGAACTTTCTAAAAAGAGGTCATGCTTCACCTTTAAAAGTGGGCAGCCTGTGGGTCTAACTTTATGAGTTCCTTATGCATGTACATAACTCCCCAGTAAGCAGTGCAGTCAAAGTCAGTGCGACCTGCACTTAAATAAGTGCACTGCATCTCATATAATGAGCCCTCAAAAGAAAAACTGTGATTCTTCATCCCCTCTGGCAACCTTACCCTCAAGACTAGTGGAACAAGTGCAGCCATGCACTTAGTGTCATTAATTTTTTTGTTCATTAGTGCATCCAGATTTGGTCTGGGTCTCATCTGAAATGATGCTTAATTGACAGCCATTCTTCTGACCAGAACGTGTTTCACATGCTTCTGCCAGTGTGCTGCAACTTCAGTTATTATTGCCTGCAGTGATTCCTGCTTGTTTGGTACATGGCCTTTCAGGAAGGATCAGATAATTTTGCCAAAACTGAGCAAAATCCCACTGATCTTGACTGAAATCCCACTTCACTGAATGCAGGGTTAGGGGCTTTAGTCTGTGATGTTACCCAAAGACTTGAGGGTGAGAGCTGGTTTTTTTTTCCCTTGGTTGCTTTTCTTTCTTACCAGTCTGGTACAGCAAGTCAGCTTTGTCTTTGATATATCTGTTTTCAAAGGTTATGTTTACATTTTGCCTTTGTACAGGCAAGAATACTTTAGTCCTAGCAGATACTTACTCCAAATTAGGTGCATGGATACCATGCCATTTACACCATCTGATACTACGTGTGCTACAGTTAGCTGTACATGGCTAATACCAAAGGGAATATGCCCTGAAAGAAAATAAATTCAGAGGAAAGTCACAAACTGAGCTGACCCACTGGATTTAGGGACATACAGAGATTTAACAACCATCTGAATGCACATATCCTGAAGTTTGTGGTGTCAAGCAAAAACAAACTTTCAAGTGGTGAAAGCCTTGCACTTATGATAGTCCCATGGTTACAGCCTCTTACCTTCTTCATTGCACGGTCCATTTGCCTTCCCTTTAGTACAGGAATGACCTCCTCATGCCAGTTACAGGGGCTCCATGGGAAACCAGTGCCAAGGCCTCTGTCAGAGACTGCTGAGCCATCTCTGAAAAGCATTAACATCTGGGAGTGGGAAGGGATGCACCATGGGATCAACCAGCTGTTTCCAGACCATTGCCAGTTCTGCACATAAGTTTGGATGAGGGATTTAGGCCAGCAGCCAGGAGCAATGGAGACAAGTAGTTAGAAAGGAATAAAGAGAGAAAGGCTGCTCGTCTTAATGAGTGCAATAAAACATAAAAAAAAAGCAATTATGCAGTAAAATTATTGTCATTTTGAGTTTTGAAGATAATGTACTAGGCAATAGTACTCATTTTAGCCTGTGTTTTTAGGCATCTTTTAACCTCTGATGTAATAATTACATAGTACTCTCTCATTCCTGCATCTCTTCATTTTTATGTGTACTGAAGTGTTGCATCAGAACAATGTCAAATCCCCAAATCCTGTACAGTCACGCTGGTCCTTAACTTTGTTTTGCTTTGCCATGTGAAATCTAGAAATTGTGCATGAAATATTTTTTAGCAGCTTCCTCCACACCTCATATAATAGCACAATTATACAGATGTTATAAATTATGGTTGCTGTTTGATTTTAAAAAATGTCCTAGTTCCTGTGGTTCAATCTCGACTTCATGACTAGAAATACTGACAAACTCAGAAAAGTCTGCCTTATTGGTTCTTCGTTTTTCTTTTTGGCAAATACTATTTGCGTCTCTGCCTCCTTGGTTTCCATCAGTTATTTCAGGAATCGGTTTGATATGGATATGAACAAAAGGATCAAAATACACCAGTGCTGTTTCTGTGCATTAATACTTATTTTAATATGATCCCCTGGCTTTAGGTAGTTATTTTCTATGTATTGTTACATCCTACTATTGTAAAGTTTTAAAGATTTGTTAAACTCACCACAGTGAAGGGATTTCTGTTTGGGGTGGTCTAAAATGATCAAAGTTTGACCAAACTTCTTCCCTGTGTGCTAAACCCAAATGTTATTATTTAGATTTAAAGCTTTTTTTTTACCTTTTAGCGTAAAGTTATCTCTACATGACAATATAACACCAGAGGAAAGTCCTACTCTAACTGTAGTTTTAGGATTGTTGCAATGCTATAATCGTTATCATCCTCATCAGCTGTCCTTTAGTAAAGCACCATCCTTCAATTTTTAATTGACTTGGGTCTTATTCTTAACAGTGGTTCATCTTGAATGCTGGGATATAATCACTGCTTTTTTAAAGGTTAATATGAATCTGTAATGAATGGTACAGATTAAACATGGGTGACATTCTGTTTTCCCATCTTGTATAGATAAAATATTTACACTCTAACAGAGATCAATTTAGAAAGCAGGTGCAGCTTTGATGTTTACATCTTTTAATCAGAAACCTTAATTAACAGGTTTTTTTGCTAATGATTAATCACCTGCACAAATACTATGTGGATTTGTCAATTCTGAAGTTGCAGGCATCTTGGTTGTTGTTTTTTTTCACCATGACAAAAGATGATGATCATGTCCTTCTGAGTGCTTGAGCTGGGAACATAGAGAATCAGGACTGTGTGTTTTCCAAATATGAAGTAGGAAAGCCTGGTTGAAGTGGTGAAAGGTATCATTTGCAGAAACACAGATGTTACTTGTCAGGCTTTGGTAATTGCTATAATGTTTTTAATATAATTCTCCCAGACTCAGCTTTGCAGGAAGCAGGTTGGAATGGTCATTATCTACATCTGTTAGTAGCTTCTCTGCATATAAGTTAGGTAGGTAGGTAGGTTGGCTGGTGTGGTTGTTGGGAGGTTAGGTTGGATGTGGCTTTTGAAGCAGTTTTTTAAAACCAGCACTCTTAAAGGTTTGCTTTGCTTCTGTATTTATGGGGGCTTAGAGAATGAAGTTGTCTAGGATAGAAAATTGTCAGGTTAAGACATGAACTGGATAAGAGATAAGTTAGAAATCAGGGTGGAAAGGAGGCATCAAGAGTTGGAGGAAATGTATGTAAGTACTTAAGCTTCTGGGATGTGTCCAGTTCATTCCATTATTAGGCACTCTTTCCCTGAATAACGTTGCTTTGTGACTCCTTTGTTTCTGAGTTTTGCTCTGACTATCAAGGTATGATAGTAGTTTGGACTGCTTAGTAAGAATGAGAATTGCACTTTGAGGTAGGCTGTTACTGTTCTGACTAGTTTGGCATGAATTTGGTCACCTCTTATTGGCTCTGGGGGTTACTTTTAGCCTTAACATTACTATGTTTTTGTTGTACAGCACTAAGCCTCTTGTATAGAATGGGATTGTGTTGGTGACTCGAAAGCTGCTGAAAGTAACAAAATCAAAATACACTTGCCACAAAATCAAGTTGTGTGTGGTGGCGATTTTTTTTTTTTTTTTTTGTTTGGTGTTTTTGGGATGTGGTTGTTTTGGGGAGTTTTCCTTTTTTTTTATTTTTTTTTATTTGGTTAATTTTTTTTGTTTGTTTTGTTGGGTTTTTTTGGTGTTTGCTTGGTTTTGCACCATTCCTCGTGGACAATGGGACCTCTTGCTTTCAGAGAGCAAAACCTGCAAATGTTCCTGTCACTGCCAAATTTATGGGGAAGCTCACTGGAGATAAACTGTCTGCTATACAGCTTGTAATGATTTATTTCTGTAATGCAATATCTTACTTTCTGGTAACAAAGGCAGAGGTTGGAAATCGTTTCTGCTGCAGTGTGTCATTAAGATTTAATTCACTGTTTTAAATTATGAAGTACTCTGTGGCTTCATTTGTTTGTATGAAGATTTGTGATGTCGACAAAGGTAGAAAAACCTGTGTCCTCCTTGATAGGCTTCATGGATGCTCTGTGTAAAGCTCATATGCTGTTCATAACCAGATCATTTTCAGCAGTCTGTTAACTCCTTTTATTATTAGATTGTTAATATTGAAGCTGATCTCTTGAGTGCTGAGGAGGTGTTGAGATGATTTATATGTATTCTGCTGGTTTATATTACTGTGCCTCTCGTGGAAGGAATTATAATGCCAACATATTGAAGAAATAGATTTAACGACGGTTTTGTGAAATAAGTGCAATATTTCAGGAAATGTAATTAGGAAATATTTAGAAGAACAAGTCACATTAAGAACTGTCTTCAGGAGTAGGAGTATCTGAATCCCCTCGAAGGCAAGGAATTGATTGCTCCACAGTATGGTCCTCATGTTGATTGGTAGCCTATCTCTGGATATGGGAGCTTGGCATTTAACCTTGCATAGCAGAGGCATGGAGTCTGAACGTGGTGTGCAAGGAGCTCTCTGTATTTTGCTTCATCTATAGCTGTTCTCGAATGCTGGAACAAGAGCTTCTGCTCCCTCGAGCAGACTTTTATTTGCTTTTTGACAGGCCAATAGCAGCTGAATTTGTGAACGATTTAAGGATTACTGGAAAAGGTGTATTTAAAAGTATACCCTCCACTGGAGGCAAAATGCTGAACTAACAGTAATGAAAGTGCATGTACGGCAGGAGGGAGTTCCTGTTTGGTTAATTTTTCACTATTCTGTTACCAATGCATATCTTGGCTAACCATGGCTAATCTGGTATGTCTGGACTCATGAAAAACAACTACCTACCGTGTTCTTGCACTGTGAGCTAGGGAATTAGCAATACTGTCTACCCAATAGCTGAAACTGCCAGGTGTTATTTCCAACATGCAACCACAAACTTAGGTTAAGAAATGCAGTTTGTAGTCTGGTACTAGTTTCCTGTGCTAGGTGCAGTGCTGTGTGGATGACAAGTAGTCTTAGATCCAAAGTTGTTGCAAATTTTTTTCCTAAATGCCTTAACAAGGAATGCCTCTATGTATCAGTGGGGGTAAGTGATCTCCAAGAGATGTGCTTGATTAATTCTGCTAGGCTAAAACAAAAAAGTAAGGCTTTTAGGCACTTAACAGAGCTACAAGTGGAGATGACTCTTAGTAGGCTGGGTCACACTGTCGTATATGCAAATACCACTTGGTATGTCCTTCTAGTAGGATCTGGTTAAAAAGTTTGTGCTTTCTCTTGTGCAAGCTCAGTTTGAGAGGAGTGACTGCATGCCCATAACCATCATCTGATTTTTGCCTGGTAGCATAGCTTATGGGAAGGTGTTAAAAATGTTTCCAATTAGAGCAATTGCAAAGGTTCTTGCCTATGGCATAATAGGATAGAAGTGGCTACGAATGAGGAGGCACATGCAGAAAAGACATAAATGTGTGTCTGTGTGCCATCATCCTTTCTGCATCTCTGCTCCCAAAGTGTCCCCTCCAAAGCAAAGCTCTGGTTTCTTGCTCTATTATGGAGATGGTCATAGCCTCCAACCAAGAGAAGGGAAGTAACACGGTGACACAAACAACATCAGAATTTAAAGTGGACACTGTAAGCCCCATTGTAAAGGACAAACTGTTGAAATGAGTGAGTCAAGTGCTAATCCTGCCATTGAAGGCTTCGTTTAAACCAGCCTGGCTCTATTGTCCAAGTGGAGATTCAGGGCTCTGATAGCTCAGATTGAGAGGCTGAAGCATGGGTTATCTGCAGGGGAAAGGATTGGTTTTGGAGCATTTTCTTAGTTGAGTCTAAACGGTCCCTGACAGCTTTGTGGCTGAGATGCTCAGGTGCACAAAAGGGGTAAAAGCCTTCATTCACCCTACAGTTCTCAGCATTTAACAGAGCTCTTCAGCTATTGTGAGTGTTATTAATCCATAAAGATTCTGTGATTTCAGTGCAGGAGGATTTGGTCTGTTTTAAGAGGTCACACATGAATATTAATTGTCTTTGCAGTAAAGACACATGGAATTTACAATGTGCTCCTTGGTTTTTTCTGCTCATTCGCAGTAATTTAAAGATTGTCTACCAATTAAGTGTAGCTTATAATAAGGCAAGATTTTTTTAAAATGCACACCAAACTCTTCAGAGAAAATCTGCTTAGATGTATATCTTGATACAGAGTATCTCTTCATTTCTACTATTTAACTGCCAATGCATTATCATTTTGTCTTTCTGTTGCTAGCCTTCTTAAACTGTCATGCCTCTGTAGAGTACTAGGTCTGTAAAACAAGATTTGATGTTCCAGAAGATAAAACTGGAGGCTAATTCAGCACCCATTTCTCTAAAATGAGGTGTACTTATGCAAGAGTTCACTATGAAGTAGAAAATAGAGATCTTGTGAAAAAATAGAAACCTTTTATCTGAGTAGGCGACCAATTTATGTTTACAGAAATGTTATTTAAATAATACTTTGTCCATGTAATAAGGTTATCATGTTTTTTTAGGTAACAATTTAAGTCTACATGGTAAATGCATTTCTGTGTGGCAAAAGTTATTTCTTCCGTTCCATAACACTTGTCAAAATTTCCATGTATCTTTCATACTTGGAAGAGATGGAGATGTAATATTCCTATCCCAGAACACTAGAGAAGTGTAGATGTAGCAGGTGCTTTGGCTGGTGGTGAGAGCATTTGTTTTGGTCAGCAACTTTTGCTTCTAGTTAAGATTAAACTATTTTCTATAATTCTACTTTTCTTTAACTAAATGTGTGGACATTTATTAGAAATTCTAGCCTATTACATTCTTCACTCAATAGGCTACAACTCTACAGGGCCATTCTTGGGTGTCAGGTACATGCAGACGAGATGTATTATTTTATCGTTTACTCATTACAACCAGCATTCTTGTCAATAGGTGCTTACAAAAATGTGTTTCCCTCTGGTGCTTCATAATGGTGGCAAAACCTGTTTGACTAGCACACAAGGCTTTCCACTGGGAGATCTGAGGATGCAGACATGATGGTGCTGCGTTGCTGTTCCTCTCTGTGCAGAGCAAAAGGTCGTCTGAGATTCCCTTGTTGCTGCGTTGAATTCTGGCAAAGCAGAGGTGCTAGTCTGGCATGCTATGTAAGTCATCTGCAGATTGCTAACAGCCTGTGGAGTCTGCTCCGCAAATGTGATATCTGGCTTTGCTCTTTTTCAGTGGGTGAGTTGCTCTTCCTGACTCTAACTGTAACACTTGCATGATCCTATTTTCATAGAATCCTAGAATAGTTTAGGTTGGAAGGGACATTAAAGATCATCTTGTTCCAACCCCCTGCCATGGGCAGGGACAAATTATTTTGATGATTTCTACGCAGAGACAAGGACTTGGGCTTCACCTGAGCAGTGCTTTAAAAAAAGTCTCAGCACTTAAATGACTCCTTTCTATGATGAGGAAAGGTTCATCTTGATGCCATTAGATTCCCTGAACTTCCACACATTGCCAGCCTTTAGTTTAATATCAGTCATACAAATATTGCCACTGCTCGTGGATACTTCCAAGCAAGTTCAGTGCTTGGGGTGCAATTAATTTCTATTTTAACCATCTGTGATATCACAGGGTGAGGGTGTGAGGCAGGTGTGCCTCACACTGGACGATGTTAGCCAAGGCTCTGTCCAACCTGAACTTGAACACCTTTGAAGCTGAAATACACAGAGGAAAACAGTTTTCTGTGAATTACTGGGGTTTTTTTTCATTTGTTGCCTGGGGGACACAGCATGGGTTTTAGGGTTTTAATGGCATTTGGATGTTTTATGTTTTTGTTTTAATGGCATTTGGGTAACTTTTTTTCAGAGTGCGACTGGTGTGAATCCCATTGAACTTGTTGGGAATCATTTAATTGACTTCATGGCTTTTTTCACTCACACCTCTAAAAGGTCAGCTCTCTTACTTGCTACTGCCTTTTGCTGTTGATTATTGTTGCTCCATAAGCCCCTGCTTCCACTATCCAAGTTATTCTAATACCAATATTGCTGAGGCACAGGGATTTGGCAAGTGTGTCAGTACCTTACTGTCAGCCTAAAACGTGGGAGGGCTGAAGGAGTTGAGGTGTGTATAGCTGTAATGATATTAGGGAGAAGCTCTTCCCTGTGAGGCTGGTGAGACACTGGCACAGGTTGTCCAGAGAAGCTGTAGATGCTCCATCCCTCAAAATATTCAAGGCCAGGTTGGACAGGGCTTTGAGCAA